CGTACGGCAGTTAAATGTGCTGGCCTCTCTGGCAGCTCGGCTCTCTCGGCTCCGCGCCTTTGGAGGCGGGAGATATAGCGTTGAAGTGCTCGTCCACAAACAGCATCAGTCTTCAACAAACTTTGCGATATTAAACAGCCTACTTGCCGTCCATTATCACACTTAAAGAAATCCAATAAAAACCTAATTTCTCTGACGTAGATATCTCGATGGACGGCTACCCTTTTTTAAGCTTACTCGCAAAGAGAGAGGGTCGGTGGGGTCACTTCATATTTACATACGTCTCTTCCCATCCCGATTGTTCTATCCGACACCACTCCCGCACCCTTTCGCAATGCACTCTGGTTCCAAATCCCGTTCATGCCAACTACTTGGATTTGGTCATCGATGGCTAAAGACACTTCGTTGATCAGGTGTTAATTAACGATCCACTGGGACATAGCGTCCACTTTGTGTTGACTTTTGATTCCATCTGCCACCGGGCCGGAAATCCTGGATCTCAAATGTGGATTCGAAACCTCTGCAGTGCAGAGCTGTCAGGAACGCTCATCTTTCCGGATCAATGTAAGTTGGGAACGGTTTTAGTGAAAGGGTTATACAGGACTATTATCCGGAAGGTTTACAAGTTTGAGGCGGTGTTCATCTCAAAAAACTCACCACGCAGTTGGATGCATCACAAGCTACGTAGAAGTATTCGGCGTCTTTTGAAAAGGAGCTCTCAAATGTTTTTCAAAAAATTGATCACAGGAGACAGAAAATGAACTGGCGTGTTGTAAAGTGCAGAGCAGAGAACACTGTGCAAGCCTATATTTTGCCCCAATAACATCATCACACTCTATCTTGTCAAGGCGTAAATACCGACGGCCTCTAACCAGCTTGGTCCTCACGGAGAAGGACATTTATCAATTCTTGCACAGGACTAGCCCGTTTTGCCGACTGGGGCCAGACAAGATCCGTTCGAAGCTCCCGAAGAAAATATCGTTCGCACTGGCAGAGCGCTTCTACTTGGTGTTTCGGCAGGTGCCTGGCAAGGCAGCCTTTACTGTGCTTGGAAGGAAGCAATTGTTACGCCAATCTACAGAACTAGTGACCGACTATCGCCCGGCAACTGCAGGCCTATTAGTCTCACTAGCGTACCGTGCAGGGTGATGGAACGTGTTCTGTAGTGGGCCATTCAAGGTCACCTTAATACCAACATCTTGTTATTCAAGTTCAACATGGATTCTTCCAAAACCGTTCTTGCGTGGCGAACATGCTGGTATTTGTGGATAGCTTACGAACCAAGAACCAAGGACTTATAGAGGATGGCATATTTTTCGACTTCTCTGAAGCATTCAGTCGAGTCCCATACATCGCGCTGCTCCACAAGCTTGAGTCTTATGTGATTCAGGGGGAAATTTTACGCTAACTGAAAGCATTCTCATCAAACAGAACATTTCGAATGAAAGTAGGCTCTATCTACTCTTCTCCGACGCCATTCTTCATCGGAGTTCCGGAAGGCTCTGTCTTGGGACCGATTCTGTTTCTGATCTATGTCAGCAACCCTCCAGACGTTCTTTGAAGTCCACGTTTGCAGACGACTTGAAATCCTGAAGTTCAAATGCCAATGCCCTCCAACTGGTTGTAGATGCTGCAAAGCACTAGCTTTTTCCTCTGAAAAACGAAAATTGCGCCCACAGTTAATTCGGAGGGGACTCAGCAAATACCTTTGCGCATGGTAACAATGGACCAGAAAACTTCACGAGGATTGATACTAAAATTGATTTGAGTATCTTGCTATCTTCAAGTATGTCCTTCTCACTGCACCATAAGCAACCGGTCCAGAAAGCATGCGCCGTTCTATGGGTGATTCGGCTCACCTTCTCCCGTATTACTTCAGGCCTTCTTGAGTATGTCAACCAAGTTGTGTACTCGGAACTCACGAGGGACATAACGCTCATTGAGTGTGTCCAGCGGGGTGCTACGAAAAATGTTTGACAGCCTTAAATCCGTGGACTATGAAACGCATCTCGTGGTGCTTGACCTATTTCCCCTGCAGTATCGTCACCTCCGAGGAGACTAATACTTACTTATGCCCTATTTGACCAATGTTTGGCCAACAGTCTTTTCACCATTTGACCGTAAAACACACGGCGGGTACATGAGGAGATAATTCTCAAGCTCAGAGCATACACTTTTGTTTGGCAAAGTTTCTTCCATTTCGGGTAGTCAGTGAGTAATATAAACTTCCTGTTATATCTGCTGATTCGCCAATTTGAGGTATCTGCTGCTGACCCGCTCCAGTGCCTAGTGTCGGAGAGAAAAGACTCGCGGAAGGGAACACAACAGCTATATTCCAACAAAGCGGGTGGTAGAGCGTGAGTGCGTCCGAGTGCGAAAAGTACAACGGCCTCAAGCTTTTTATTGGAAGGACACTGTCTGAACTCGGTCCAATGCTGACGCACACAGTCTGGTTGCGACGTGCTGCATATCGCGGGGGGCGTTGTCTGATCTTCATCAACGCTGACTCGCGCTGTCTGGGTTTGATACAAGGCTGTGACGCGCTGCATATTGAGGGGCGTTGTCTGTCTGGTCAACACCTAGCGGAGCTGAGAGTCTCCGTAGGTTTCGGGCATTCAGTGGTTGCTTTCAGGAAGCTGACCTTCCTGATACTTCCTCCGACGGTTGTCCACTAGCACTATTGGATGCTTTTTAATGCAAGTGCTTGCACTGGCAAGCCCAATGTCCTGCACTGAGAACCTGAAGAGCAACGCCTCTACCGTGAGTATCAATTGTGAATCAGTGAATACTCAGACGGCCCAAAAGTTATCTGCCGTTTTATTTGTCTCCACGACCTGCCTCTTCCATTGTCTCTTTGCTGTTTGCTTGTTCGAACCAAATGAGCTGTTTTAATATCCTGACTTCCCTCCGACCGGATAAAATGTCTGGAGAATAGAGTTCTTTAATAAGGTAACCCAATTAGACAGTGTATATCCCCGCCCAAATCATATAAACAATTCGTGAAAGCGCATAAGATTGTGTCTAATCAAATGGTAACAAACATTCTGGGAATGCATGTCTTCACAAAGTTTTATTGGCGTTCAATTTTATCTGGAGGTCAAGTGAAAGACTGCATAATGTGTGAGATAGTTCATTCAGTCGAGTCCCATACATCGCGCTGCTCCACAAGCTTGAGTCTTATGTGATTCAGGGGGAAATTTTACGCTAACTGAAAGCATTCTCATCAAACAGAACATTTCGAATGAAAGTAGGCTCTATCTACTCTTCTCCGACGCCATTCTTCATCGGAGTTCCGGAAGGCTCTGTCTTGGGACCGATCTGTTTCTGGATCTATGTCAGCAACCCTCCAGACGTTCTTTGAAGTCCACGTTTGCAGACGACTTGAAATCCTGAAGTTCAAATGCCAATGCCCTCCAACTGGTTGTAGATGCTGCAAAGCACTAGCTTTTTCCTCTGAAAAACGAAAATTGCGCCCACAGTTAATTCGGAGGGGACTCAGCAAATACCTTTGCGCATGGTAACAATGGACCAGAAAACTTCACGAGGATTGATACTAAAATTGATTTGAGTATCTTGCTATCTTCAAGTATGTCCTTCTCACTGCACCATAAGCAACCGGTCCAGAAAGCATGCGCCGTTCTATGGGTGATTCGGCTCACCTTCTCCCGTATTACTTCAGGCCTTCTTGAGTATGTCAACCAAGTTGTGTACTCGGAACTCACGAGGGACATAACGCTCATTGAGTGTGTCCGGGTGGGTGCTACGAAAAATGTTTGACAGCCTTAAATCCGTGGACTATGAAACGCATCTCGTGGTGCTTGACCTATTTCCCCTGCTCGTCACCTCAAACGCATCTCGTGGTGCTTGACCTATTTCCCCTGCAGTATCGTCACCTCCGAGGAGACTAATACTTACTTATGCCCTATTTGACCAATGTTTGGCCAACAGTCTTTTCACCATTTGACCGTAAAACACACGGCGGGTACATGAGGAGATAATTCTCAAGCTCAGAGCATACACTTTTGTTTGGCAAAGTTTCTTCCATTTCGGGTAGTCAGTGAGTAATATAAACTTCCTGTTATATCTGCTGATTCGCCAATTTGAGGTATCTGCTGCTGACCCGCTCCAGTGCCTAGTGTCGGAGAGAAAAGACTCGCGGAAGGGAACACAACAGCTATATTCCAACAAAGCGGGTGGTAGAGCGTGAGTGCGTCCGAGTGCGAAAAGTACAACGGCCTCAAGCTTTTTATTGGAAGGACACTGTCTGAACTCGGTCCAATGCTGACGCACACAGTCTGGTTGCGACGTGCTGCATATCGCGGGGGGCGTTGTCTGATCTTCATCAACGCTGACTCGCGCTGTCTGGGTTTGATACAAGGCTGTGACGCGCTGCATATTGAGGGGCGTTGTCTGTCTGGTCAACACCTAGCGGAGCTGAGAGTCTCCGTAGGTTTCGGGCATTCAGTGGTTGCTTTCAGGAAGCTGACCTTCCTGATACTTCCTCCGACGGTTGTCCACTAGCACTATTGGATGCTTTTTAATGCAAGTGCTTGCACTGGCAAGCCCAATGTCCTGCACTGAGAACCTGAAGAGCAACGCCTCTACCGTGAGTATCAATTGTGAATCAGTGAATACTCAGACGGCCCAAAAGTTATCTGCCGTTTTATTTGTCTCCACGACCTGCCTCTTCCATTGTCTCTTTGCTGTTTGCTTGTTCGAACCAAATGAGCTGTTTTAATATCCTGACTTCCCTCCGACCGGATAAAATGTCTGGAGGATAGAGTTCTTTAATAAGGTAACCCAATTAGACAGTGTATATCCCCGCCCAAATCATATAAACAATTCGTGAAAGCGCATAAGATTGTGTCTAATCAAATGGTAACAAACATTCTGGGAATGCATGTCTTCACAAAGTTTTATTGGCGTTCAATTTTATCTGGAGGTCAAGTGAAAGACTGCATAATGTGTGAGATAGTTGCCTGCTCCGGCGAAGACTTGTACTACACGGTCGCAACCGCAAAAACCGGCTCTGTACTGCGCGAATGTGTTGATGTTTTTAGTTTGGAATTACTACCGGGTGGGCGGGATCTCGACGGCTTCGGCGATTTGGAGTATTTTCGTCGAAAAAACACCGGCTGCAAGTGCAATCGATCAAGTTGTGATTGTATTAGTTCATCGTCGGTCACCGGATGATCTGTTTGAGGTAACTCGCGACTTCCGAATGCGGATGCTGGAGAGGTGAAATAGGGCCAGGACGTGCTGGTGTGATCCTTTGGTTTCGATCTGGCTCGACTGAGATGAGAGTGTGTTCTTGTATTCTCACGGGAGACTTCCGTATCCCTCGTGGCGACTGATCCTTTATCACTGTTGTGGGACCTTGAAGATACAAAGAATTTGAATAGCATTGAACCAATCTGACACTCATTACTCCAAGGTAAATTAGAAAAAAATATAGTGTAACCTGGATGGTAGAACGAAGATCAAGTTTAATAACTGAGCATATAACACTGTGAAGATTATCCACTCTCTTGGGATTACAGGTGATTTCCGACGTGCTCCCGGAGCACTCTGACCAAGATCTGGTAGGTTTTTTTTGTTTTCAGGATTTTTTTTGTTGGTTGCGAAAGTAAAACAATCCTTTCTCGATAAAGTTATTCTGCACAGGTTCATGTTATCCAAAAAGGATGGCAAACGAACTGCAGTGCCCTAGAACCACCTCAAGACTTCTATGCAGTTCGAATTTCCGTCGACACAATAGTGCACAGACTGCCTCAACAACAACAATAACAGCAATATTAAAAATTCCTATCAGAATTTCGTAAAACTTTTTCTCAAACAGTGGTTAAACATACTCATTTTCATTCAGCAGTGACAAAATATGAGAACTCAAGTTTCGACACCATGAAGAAAAAAAGTAGTGCCACAATTCTCTCCTGTGACGTTTGTAAAAATCCAGTAATGAGTAGAATTGAGGTGGGCTTTCATATCTCAATGAGGAGCAAAACGTAAGCAGAAAACTCAGACGGCTGTATAGGAGTGAGTTCTAAGCCAATCAATTCAGTGATTCATTATGCACAGTTTTGTACAAGACTTCGTTTAGGTGTAACTAGTATTTAGCCTATTTTGCCACAGAAATGAAGATGGTTTCGTCAAAATGTCATACCAGGCGTCTTAGGCGCAGAAACGCTGGTACTTCTAGTTCGCACGCTCCAGAAACGCGCACAAAGTCAAGAAATAGCTTTAGATAATGCTAGGATTATTGTAATCAAACAAACAGGCGCAAGCGTATAGTCTCCGTTTAATATTCTATAAATCCAAGTGCATTTAACATCGAACCAGCAAAGCATTAGCAATGTTGCGGAATGTAGGTAGCTCGGGTGCGCTGCTTGGTTGTTGGTCTGTTCGCCGAGCATGGCAGTTGGATTGAAAGCGTTTCACCACCTACCGAGGTGACATCGTCAGTGCAGGGTTAAGTATGTGAATTTCTCTTCTTCTGCCTGTGGTTATATAGCATCTGAACAGTAACTGGTAGTTCTGGAAACGGTCTTCGCGCAGTTTGATTAGCCTCGTGTAAATCTGACGTGGTCTCAATCTCCTGTGTCTGGTTGGTTCGTTGGGCGCATTCAATTCGGCAGTTCTGTCTGTGGTTGTTCTCTTGTGATTCGGCCATTTTCTAGCTTTGTGGGGTGAGTTTGTTCCCTTGATTGGTTGATTCAGCGGCCCTCTGTTTTTAGTGATTGTCTTCCTTTGACCCAACTAGCCCGTTGGTTGTCGTTAGGTTTCTTAGCCCGTGACTGTGTGGTTCTTTTGCTCGTAACGGCTGATAGACTGGGTCACTGTCGATTTTTGTGTACCACGCCTCTGCAGATTCTCGCTCCCGTTTTGTTCTTGCGTGAGGAAGTATTTCAACGTTGCCCAATTGAACTTGTGTCGTTCTCTGTCTTCGTGAGTTGAGACAAGTGACATTGGGTCATATCTACCGCTGGCAAGCTTGTGTTCGTGTATTCTGGTAGCAAGTTTTCTTCGCGTTTGGCCAACATAGTGTTCGTCGCAGTTGTCGCGCTTAAGTTTGTAGTCTTGTAGTCTGTTAGTCTTCTTCAATACATCCAACCTCCCCCAGTGGCTTCGAGAGAGTTCTTCTCAACGCGTTTGTAGGCTTGAAGGCGACTGTAATCCCATGTTGCTGTAGATGTCGTGCAGCCATCTCCTCCACGTTTCTGATATACGGCAGCGTAATCTCCCTCTGTTCTGGTTGTGTTGACGGATCAGCTTGGTGGTGGTCTCGTGAGCACCTCCATATGAAATTCCTCGGGTATTTCGGAATGTCTCATAGAGTCTTCATTCTTCTTTTTTCTTCGCCTCTGTTGTGTAACAATGTGTCTCCACCCGCTGGGATAGGGTTCAAACAAAGCTCCGTTATGACAGTTCGAATGGTTGCTGTGGTAATACAGAATCTGGTCTGTATGCGTTTCTTTCTTGTATTCTTCAGTTTACAGTTGGCCGTTTGTTGTCCTTGTGACGAGCACATCTAGGAACGCCAAGTTGTTGTTCTCCCCCGTTTCCATTGTGAAGTGGATGTCGGGAAACACGTTGTTCAGCAGTTCCTCCGCTCGTGACAGTTCATTTTTCTTTACAATAGCAGATGTGTCGTCCACACATTGCACCCATATTTTCGGTTTGATATCTGGTAACACCATTCGCTCCAGTTTCTGCATTGTAATTTCTGCGATGAGTTCAGAGATTGGAGACCCCATTGGCACTCCTTTAATTTGTTCATAATATTCTCCACTGAACTCAAAGTAGGTTATCAAGCACAGATCTAGTAGTTCACATGTTTATTCTTTTCCGAGCGTTCCGTCGATGTTTTCGCGGTTGTCCAGGAGTTTGGTGACCATCGTCCGCGCTAAATTCAAATCAACTCACTCAACCGTCCACTGACGATGCCACCTCGATTGGTGATGAAACGTTTGCAATCCAACTGCCAAGCTCGGAGAACAGACCAACACCAAAGACGTGCATTGTCGCACAGTTCATTCTGTTAGGCGTCTACAATCTGTGGTAATTGGCAAGTCGGGCAGACATGACGAATGATACCAAATGCTTCCAGAGTGCGTTTTGCAATTTTTCTCCACAAACCTGGTACCGTCAGATTTCCTACGAGATCCGATCTGGACCTAAAAACGAAACCGCCATAAATTTTTTACAGGAAAATCCCAGTCAGGGATTTTTCTCCCTCCTGATCACGAAAAACAGGGGTTTACTTCCTTTTCCTGAAAGAAAAAAGTTGGCCGAGTTTATTTCTCCCCCCATCTCACGGATTCTCTGTACACATGTCCCCAAAACCATGCCCAAGGATACGAAGAATCTGATTTAAGAAGTGTGTTCGAGTTCACAAGCTTTCTGATTTCTCACATAGTGTCATGATAAATGACACAAACTGGGAAACTTGGATCATATATACAGAAAACCACCATTCGGGCCGCTGAAACCACGCCTCACTCGGACTCTTAGCCATCAGTTTGGAGGAATCCTGTAAGAATAGTTCTCCATAAGACAGCGAGAAAAGGTTGACAGTCTTAGGGTCACGTACAAGTATTTCTCCAACTAATCTCAACATCGCACCTCTCTTAAAGGCTATGATATCAAACACAGATGGGTCAAACATACGCCTACGCTATATTAAATGCTAGAGCACAACCAATTAAGCGTATTTTTCATATCCCCAAACTAACTGTTTCGTGATCTCGCAGTACACACAGTTCGTGCCAGTGTGGATTTCTCAATCAGTTTGCTGTCGCTTAGAACCACGGCCAGTCACAAGTATCAGCTAGCCAGGTTTAAGCCAGGAATCACATACTTATTTACTACAGAGCTTGTCCATGCTTGGTATCAACGGCGTCACTAATAGTAATGCGCGGTCCGCCGTACTCACTGAAACTAAGGGTATGGGTAGAGAAATTTAATCGGTCTCGTGAGCACCTCCATATGAAATTCCTCGGGTATTTCGGAATGTCTCATAGAGTCTTCATTCTTCTTTTTTCTTCGCCTCTGTTGTGTAACAATGTGTCTCCACCCGCTGGGATAGGGTTCAAACAAAGCTCCGTTATGACAGTTCGAATGGTTGCTTTGGTAATACAGAATCTGGTCTGTATGCGTTTCTTTCTTGTATTCTTCAGTTTACAGTTGGCCGTTTGTTGTCCTTGTGACGAGCACATCTAGGAACGCCAAGTTGTTGTTCTCCCCCGTTTCCATTGTGAAGTGGATGTCGGGAAACACGTTGTTCAGCAGTTCCTCCGCTCGTGACAGTTCATTTTTCTTTACAATAGCAGATGTGTCGTCCACACATTGCACCCATATTTTCGGTTTGATATCTGGTAACACCATTCGCTCCAGTTTCTGCATTGTAATTTCTGCGATGAGTTCAGAGATTGGAGACCCCATTGGCACTCCTTTAATTTGTTCATAATATTCTCCACTGAACTCAAAGTAGGTTATCAAGCACAGATCTAGTAGTTCACATATTTATTCTTTTCCGAGCGTTCCGTCGATGTTTTCGCGGTTGTCCAGGAGTTTGGTGACCATCGTCCGCGCTAAATTCAAATCAACTCACTCAACCGTCCACTGACGATGCCACCTCGATTGGTGATGAAACGTTTGCAATCCAACTGCCAAGCTCGGAGAACAGACCAACACCAAAGACGTGCATTGTCGCACAGTTCATTCTGTTAGGCGTCTACAATCTGTGGTAATTGGCAAGTCGGGCAGACATGACGAATGATACCAAATGCTTCCAGAGTGCGTTTTGCAATTTTTCTCCACAAACCTGGTACCGTCAGATTTCCTACGAGATCCGATCTGGACCTAAAAACGAAACCGCCATAAATTTTTTACAGGAAAATCCCAGTCAGGGATTTTTCTCCCTCCTGATCACGAAAAACAGGGGTTTACTTCCTTTTCCTGAAAGAAAAAAGTTGGCCGAGTTTATTTCTCCCCCCATCTCACGGATTCTCTGTACACATGTCCCCAAAACCATGCCCAAGGATACGAAGAATCTGATTTAAGAAGTGTGTTCGAGTTCACAAGCTTTCTGATTTCTCACATAGTGTCATGATAAATGACACAAACTGGGAAACTTGGATCATATATACAGAAAACCACCATTCGGGCCGCTGAAACCACGCCTCACTCGGACTCTTAGCCATCAGTTTGGAGGAATCCTGTAAGAATAGTTCTCCATAAGACAGCGAGAAAAGGTTGACAGTCTTAGGGTCACGTACAAGTATTTCTCCAACTAATCTCAACATCGCACCTCTCTTAAAGGCTATGATATCAAACACAGATGGGTCAAACATACGCCTACGCTATATTAAATGCTAGAGCACAACCAATTAAGCGTATTTTTCATATCCCCAAACTAACTGTTTCGTGATCTCGCAGTACACACAGTTCGTGCCAGTGTGGATTTCTCAATCAGTTTGCTGTCGCTTAGAACCACGGCCAGTCACAAGTATCAGCTAGCCAGGTTTAAGCCAGGAATCACATACTTATTTACTACAGAGCTTGTCCATGCTTGGTATCAACGGCGTCACTAATAGTAATGCGCGATCCGCCGTACTCACTGAAACTAAGGGTATGGGTAGAGAAATTTAATCCTCACACTACTACCAGTTTACAAGTAGTTCAGGGGAATACTAATTTTAAGGATGGGTGGAATTTCCATCACACCAGATGACACTTTAGTAGGCTGGATCCAGTTGAATTAATTAGTGTACAAATGTGGGAAGTTCGTGGTAATTATTTCCCTTCTGCCCCTCCAAAACCTCAGCGAAATGACCCTATCCACTGTTTCTCTCTTTCATTCTTAAGCGTCCTCTCTTCTGGATCGTGCAACCATTTGTTAGTGAATGAACGTTTTGTTGGACTTAACAGGTTTTTCTGTTGGGTTTCCCGAAAATTGGACGTTGGTAATGGTGAACATTGAAGATGGCTTATGAACCCATAGTTGAAAACTTGATCAGATTTCGAGTATACTTCATTTTGAACGGCCTCTCGACTCATGTGGCACATATGAAACCTCAGCAAGCAAACACTGCGCACTTTATATGAATTTTCATTACGTATAAGAGATAGTTCCAAACATTATCATTTATTGACTCACCGGACGTGAAATTTAAATTTCACACCTAGATAAACGCCACAAACTTTATCTAACTGCTTCAATTTCAGTTCCGAACGGCATGCTAGAACCAAAGTGTGGAACTCTGTTCAAATTATTTTAGTTTTCAGGTTGGCTCTTCATTCAATTGACTGTGCAGATACTATACGATGTTACTGCCTTGTCTTCTCCTATATACACAATCGAAATCCCTCCCGCATGCATTCATACCAACACTAACTATAAATTTATCTCATCGCGAAAAAGGTACTGTTAGCCAGTTAAAATGATGTGTGTCCACAAATATGAAGCACGAATGATGAACTCCGATGTTGGCCGAACCTTTACAAAGGTTGCTGCAGTTTGGGGATACTCCCAAACAAATAGATTCGATCATAAAGGAAACTACTTACAAGGTTCCTGAAAACTCTTCGACAGTCCACGACCGGTTTCTCCCTTTTTTGGGTTCATCAGGTTGGCGCAGTCCCGAGTTTCTGTCAACCTTATGTTCTACTTGAAACCAAATTGGACTGATTTTGACAAATACACTCATTCACTTGGGTCTCCCGTGAAAACCAAATTGATCTGCAAATGAGTGCAGTTGTGAAAAGTAGAACATAAGGTTGACGGAAACTCGGGGACTGCGCCTACCCGATGAGCCCCACGAAGGGCGAAACCGGTCGTGGGTTGTCGAAAAGTTTTAAGCAACCTTGTGAGTAGTTTCCTTTACGAAAATATACTGCGATGTCTCGAATATCGTGGCAACTGAATCAAGAGGTGGCCTGTGTGCAGCACATCTAGCTGAAAAACACCATAAACGAGAGATTCACTTGAGTCTCTCGTGAAAACCAAATTGATTTGCAAATGAGTATATTTGCCGAAACTCGGTCCTTTGTTAACCGATATTCCGAAAAACAGTGAGATTCAGAGGTCAGCGCATAAACTCCGCTAGATTTTGTTTTCACTCCGTTTTCTCACTGTTATGAACCTTGAATCTCCCCGGCGAAAATTTATGAAATCGATATCAACACCTAGATTAGTGAGAGTATGTCACTTGAGCCACACTACTCCCTGGGTAAAACTTTCCAGCCGAAAGCGCAACAATCCATTCAATATTGGATCGACATCGAAGCGAAAGTTCTTAGATGACCTCCAGTGTCTATTACTCTTCTGTAAGGGACCGATGGATAATTGCTTCAAATTGCCGGCTCTTTTTTAAGCTCACTGGGAATATTTTTGTGAAAAATGGTTTTAAAAATATCCCTTGGTTCCATCACACGCCCAAACCACACGGGCATATTTGATGCACCTCACTAACTTAATTTTATTCCGGGTAGAACAGAATGGTTGACTGGTCACAAAACCTAGTCACCTCTTTCACACAGAGCTACTTTCCCTCTCGTGGGTCTTATGTGGTGAATTATGGATGGGATTCGTGCTACGTGACAATCAGCTGACTTGCGTAAATATGATTTAATTTCGTTTGACTTCTAGGTGAATTGCTCACTCACTCCAAGGGGTTTGATGTACATTAATTGGAACGTGACTTTTATCACCGTAGTTGACGAGAACAACAAACAAACATCTGGCACGTTATTTAATACAAATTTCATAAGCTTCGTTTTTTTTTCACAACCGGATACGAGCTAATCAGTACACAGGGTTGGAATGGTGTCGGACTTGGTTGAAAGCAAATGGTGTGGAAATAATTGTCGCCATTGTCTCTGATTTCCGTGGACATCGGCGACTGAATTTGGTTGTTGTTTCCGTTAACTGGGAGTCCGCTCGGTCCATGTGAAAGAAAAACTCAGTGAGGTCGAACAAACCATTGAATTTATGGAACAAGGTTAAACTTGGACGAGACAATAGCCTAACCCGGTTTTATGTACTCTCAGTTGTAACATACAGATTGGCTGTCAAACCGCTTGAAAATAAAAACACAATTGACCATGGTCCATACATTAACTGAGACCAACTTTCATTTTTCCTTAGAGTAGCCCCGAAATTAGGGAATGAGCTGCTGATCAAGAAGCTTGAGGTTCGAGCCACATCCTGTTATGTCGATTGCATTTGTTTCGGCGTGAACGACGCTGGAGTATCCCAGCTCACATTACCTCTTCGGTGGTTATATACCAGTAGATCACAAAAAATTATACTCTCCTCAGATTCGGGGGGCAAATCGTGGACTTGTGTTTGTAACGTTTGCTCCTAGTCGTAGCAGGTAGCCTACTTGTTCTAATTTTCACAAAGAATATTTGGGTGGATTAAAAATATCCCAATGTCATGATAGAAGAACGGCCTATCCAAAAAAATTTGAAGGCTCCAAGATAAAACCGGGAGATAGAATTCGATTAGGCAGACAAAGATCTTGCGTTTTGTTACTGCAAAAACAGAATCCACTTTCCGTTGCTCAGCGTAAACATTTAGGGGAAGTAATACCGTGATTTGAGAACCCTGTAATCTCACACTGTATGAAGATAAAACGATTCAGAACTTACACGGAGTTAGTAAAAAAAAATCAAATCATTACACTGACAACTCTTGCAATAAGCTTTACTGTGTCACATAAATCTTACTGTAACAACCTGAAACTGAAGTATGGTTTTTGACAGCGAGTATTGTTAGCCTGGTGAACAAAAGTGCCTAGAATGTTTACTAAACAGATGACCAAGTGAACACATTCTTTCATCAGCTTGCTGCCAATTTCAAAGAGTTTTGCCCACTTTAACCCTTTGAAAACATCACGCCAACCTTCCTAATTACTTCCAACATTCCGGTTTTCCCCAATTCCTTGCTAATTTAACCACTTTATGCGTTAGTTGCAAAGTAGGTCTACCACCAGATATGTGGACCCAGCAAACGAGGTTTGCTTAATGGACCTTGGCTGACCTTGGCAATAAGACATCTGAATAATTCTTTGCGAAGTTACGACTTTTTGCTCCGGGTGTGTGCAAGCCCAAACACTAAACTCCTAAAGCATACAACAAGGCGAAATTAAGATATTTCTTGCATTACTCCAGGACGCCGACCACCCTCCCGAAATGGCGCTTAGGACCTCTTTCTCCTTAGGGAGAGAAATCGTCTTCGGGCCTGAAGACAAGATAACAAGTTGTGTACCACGAATCTCAGTAATAACGCAACAAAATGATTGAACAAGTTACATAGTGTTACCGATATAATACATTGCATTATCTGACATAAAATAAACACCCCATTCACAGAAACCACTGCTATCGTTCATGAACATCGTCATCTTGGTCTGAGTTAACTCTATTCTCTCAGGAAGATAGTATCTTAAAAACGTCCACTTGGATTGCACTGAGGATCCTTGCACTCGCTTTCATTGTGGATATTTCCCTTTTCTCAATCAAAGGATCCATAGGTCTTCGCGTACACTTTTCAGATTTTATCGTGTTGACACAGCGTTAATACGATAGCGTTTGTTTACATTAGATTGGGTGAGATCGCTGCGGAAGCGTTGAGAACACCAACGCAATTCAAAATCGACCTGACGTTTTTACGCTATGAGGGGATTACCTGAAGATGGTGACCGATACTGACCTATTGTGGAACGGTAATAATCGTCAGAGAGGCTTCAGCGTAACACGCAAAATGGTTCTTTAAAAATTGATTTTTTGTAAAGGACAGTTACGGTATTAAGTCAATTGGGAGCTATAGTAGTTCTACATGGCTTCTTAGGTATTTGTCAGTAGTATACATGATGTGGTCTCATCAGATGATATTTTGGCTTGAATTTCTGTGACGCTGACCACTAGGAAGTAAACATGTTTGTGTAATTTGAGCTGTCTAACTCTCCTCAAAAGAGACCTACTGCTGAGACAGATAATTCTGTCCGGCACAAAATTCCAATCCATTGGTACGCCTTCTCCCAAAGGGACCCCTTTTGAAAACTCCTCTACTGGAGATAGATTTATACGCAGTTAGCTTAGCCACAAATGCTCTAAACCGTCAACTGAAATAAATTCCGCTAATTCGTATGTCATGGGTTGACCAGTAGGTGGGATCGCGGGATACCGTCTACACGAAATGGGCTTGACCTCAACATTAGGGCGTTCAAAGTGGCCGATGGCTTCTTTTTCGGTTTTGTATTCACATTTTGCACTGCAAACAAGGAGGCAAAAAGGATATTCATTTCACTGACTTGTAACCTGACGGTTTGTTAACCTCCTTTCAGGTTGTGGCATGTCGATTCATAAAAATGAACCGCCAAAATGAGACGGCTTTTGATTGGTCTCTCAAAGTTTAGATCCTTTTAACGAAACAAACCCTCAAAGACAATCATTCCTGAGAGACCTTTTAAGGGTTCTTTTAAAATCACTAATATGCAGCAAATTTGGTCTCTGCCTGCAATGGATAACCAGTGTTGTCCCCCTTCGTCACACTTTGTACCCACTGGGAGAAACTTGACGGTCTGAAAACTCACATGAGACCCTCATATGGTCATGTCTAACGGCTGCAGTTATGGAAGAAAGTGCACCTTTGTGGTTATCATACCGTAGAAAATCAAGATTTAGAAACCGCATTCATTTGAGGGAGAGGAGTCCAGCGTTCAGCTAGCTAATTGGTGTAGAAGTTCAAGAAAGTCAAAGACGTCCTGGTCTTTGTTAAGATTTTGGGCACTGATCAGTTAGACTGATTGCTGTGGTGAATTTCAAGCCAAGTCTCATGGGACTAGGGGAAATAATCTCAACTTGAGGGTATTATATCTTTGGGGGCCCAGGCGTAAGGAGAACCATACTCACCGGTTCTCTTAGGGTTCCGATTTGAGCAGCCAAGGATTCATATCAAGGTATTCCGTTTGGTCGTAAGTATTACAAGTTGCAGCTTAAAGATAGAACGCTCTCATAAAGTACCGTTACTTAAATGAGTTTGCGTAATTTATTTTTAGCGAATGCAAACGTATCAGATATAGGACGAGCTGTTGTGATGCTTTCCTTTCTAGCAGTTTTCTGGAAAAGGGCAAGTGCACACACAACTGATAGGATTACAAATAGCCAGCTTTGAAGGAACATCTTGAGGTAAGAATGTGCACACTCTGATTATTCAAAACGTTCGTCGACGCCATATCTGCTTAAATAAAGCAGTTTCCGATCATTTCAAGTTCGTACACTACTTGGAATTGTCACAAGGTGTTCAGTAATTTGAAGGTTATATCTCAATATTTTGAAATTTATTTAACAAAAAAATTCAGAACACTTACTTTATGATTCGGCGGGTAATATACTTGGTCCCATCTGTTTTGCGTTTCAGAACCCACTGACTGGAAGGTTCCACACCACTCGAAGTTATCGTATTCCTAGTGGAGGCCAAAAGTTCGTTGAACGACCTTCGTTTATATTCGTTGGCTTGGGACGGTAAACAGTTCCAAAAGTTATCTTGACGTTGGGATGCGGTGCACGGAAGCAACTGTTGATTATTTCTAGTACTATGTACACCATTTTTATAAAGCTTAAAATTGAGCAGGCGCTGCTGCAGCTCGATTGTTCGTGCGAGTCGATCGCGAGTAGTATAAACAGTGTGTGGGAACAATATGGTTGAACTTTGTTGTCCCTTGTGATGCTCCAGATCTCTGGTTACTTGTAAAGCAGACGCCTGATTGACTGAAAGCCCGTTTAAGAAACAAATGCCTTCTTTGGTTCCAAAAGAAGGTGTTGATACTGAAAGGGAGACCTTGAAAGGGTGAAACCGAAATTTTAAGCGCAAAATATTTCAGAAAAATCGATATTAACGGGTGACGCATGAAAAAAGGTGATGCTAAACTACGCAGTGACTTAAAACTCGCTCTTACTTATCCATTTTAGTGAAACAAATTAAGCAGTTCTAGCCAGATTTCTAAGAACGTGTGTTGTTTCGGCCAATTTTTAAAATTTATCTACCCGAAGGCTTGACACCCTCAATTCACCAATTCAGATTAGCACAACGTGATTAGGGGGAACTCGTATTTTGTAGATATCACTCATAAGGTCGGTGCAAATTACGGAGTACGAACTATCGCTGAAGCTAAAAACGCAGGTGTTGTATTCGAAACCCCGAAAATCTTGTTCACTGCTTTTCAAGTTTTGACTGCTTTTTTTCTCAGAACGACATATGTTTGGGAATTTTTTGAGACTTTATTTGTCTCCTAAATTTCAGAGAAGGGTTAGAATGAGTAGATCATACTTTGGGGATGGTTTTTTGCCGCCAGAAGATTTTAGCTTAAAGGCAAATAACTAATTTTATGTTACCAGATTTTTATTCTGCTGTAAAGTGGAAAAGGAATTGGGCAGCCTGGCCGTATTCTAGTCCTCGTTCTCCCTTCGGGTGGCATGGCAGATGAGCACTAGAAGGGTGTTACGGCTAAACGGAATATAAATAATGACTTTGGTCGTGGGCATTTTGCAAAACGCTTTTGGAGGCTGGATATTTCTGTGATAACTCTTCCCAGGGAGCGCTCTGCAGAAAGTTGACACTATCTAAAGCGTGTATCTTTTGACAACTAATAGTCCCTAAAATCGACAAATTTTAGATGAGTTCTTTGGTTGTACCCAAAAGCACGCTACCTAGCCATCAGCTGCGTCAATAATCTTGAATTAGGCACTGTACTCCAGTAATAACCACAGAAAACCTAGGAATATTTTCATATTTAGACCTATTGCATCAAACGCCACATTAAAATTTTTAGGATGGCCGGATACGAATCTTCAACTGTTCCAGTAGAAAATCAAAAAGGAAGAAATCTCCATAGATTTTGATATATCATCAGAGACATTTAAAATCCTTCAGTAAAGGAAAACTTCATCATAGGTCATCTAAAAATCTTCTAATAGGAGTCATCAAAATTGGTAGAGCGTTTTTCGGGACTCTAATTTATTTATCCTGCGAAAAATATCAAGATGTTTTGTCATGAGTGCACTTTTAAAGGTTAATACTTCACCGTGGTTGATAAAGCTGCGCACAAATGTTTCAGATGTGCCTATGCATTCGGATTTTCCAATGGTCACGACTCTTTCGGATCTCCGCAAACAAGAGTGAAAAACGTTTCTACACTGTTTACGCAAACGAAAAAACTCTCTTGCTATTGGGACAAGTCTGTGATTTCTCCTTGCAAAACCATCTGATACGTTGAGCGCCGTGGATGAACATCTCATATCTGTTACCATGTTCACAACAATTTAATATAAGCACCTTCCACTTCACAAGAAAATTCAATGACCACAACTGAATATGGGTCGATTTCTATGTCTGACGTAAAACTTTTCGAAGATTTTTGGTGACAGTCGGTAGATTTATTGTTTGGACACAAAAGCTTCGTCAGGCCAAGTGACTAGGTTCCGAGGTTGGTCGAGATTTAATGCGGAAGGAGAACCAATCAGCTACGTCAAGCTAAATCTCTGTTGGGTGTCGGCCGAGGGGGTTTTGTGTGTTTGGGTAGGTGAACAAGTGATTGGCCGATGGGGAAATCTACGTGTGCTAGGGTCTAGCCTAGAGTCTAGTTCTTCTGGTTCGGTTCATTTGACGGTCCCTGTTGAACGTCGTTTGAACTTTCGGTTTGTCTGTGTGGATGAGCTGGTGCTAAGATAGTTGTGTAAAAGGGATTCTGTGACCTTTGGTTGGGTTGGGATTCCCACCCTCACCCCCCAGTTTTTGATAATGATTGCCCAGAAAAAATCTACCAATTGTCACCAAAATTTTCCGAAAACGATGACTACTCAATCGGCTCCAAGTATTTTTCACTTGTCGGCTATCTTCGAATAACCGAACTTTGAGTGCAAGGTGAACGTTTTCAAACAAGTTTTACTCATCAAATTCAATCAACACAAAATGATGGTTGTACTGGAAAGTGAGACTAGCAGACGGAAAACAAGCTATTGCGCGGTAAAAGAAGGAACAAATTATTTCAACAGAGCAAGTTTTCATCATCCTAGGTGACGATAGTTAATCCATGGGTGTTTCCAGAGACGTGCTTTCAGGACGTTTTTCCCTGTTTTCGTTTCCAAGAAAAGGAGAATTTTAACACCTACTGCAGGTGGGTGCAAATGAATGGTAGCGAGAATCACGTGGTTTTATGGAAAAGTAGGCAAATTTGATAATGAAGGAAAGGATACTGGATAACACTTGTCCCTTAACAGACTGCACGTGAAAGATGTTTCAAGTTAGTGCAAGATGAGTCTGTTTTGAAAGAGGGCTTGATGGAGCTTGAGATCCCCTTAATTTTTAATGCATAAGATTCGTTGAGGCTCGACCATCAGAATTATCAAAAATGATAAAAGAATTTAAAGGTCTTTTAAACTTGTTACCTCTCGAGGTACACAGTCAGTGATTACCTTTTCACTTGGCCTCATCACGTAGACGCAAATTTTGTTTCCGCTGTTGCGAAGGAGTTCTTGTGCTTGAGCCAGATTATACACCGGTGTATCATTGATTTGCAGCACTTGATCACCAAGCCGAAGAGGACCACCTAACTGTGTAACAAGGTCGTCACTTGGAGGCTGAAATGAGAGACAGGAAGCCAGAGAATTAGCATCGTAGATTGTTTGTAAAGACACGATTTTGGTACGTATGTCTACACCTAGAGTGATTATCTACCGAACTGCGTTTAGGAGAATACATTTTGTAGTTGTACTTTACCGGATGTATCTAGCACAGTAGTTTTTGTCATCGTGTCATACTCACTGATGCAGTCCAAATGCAAATGAAGGTAAAAATGAAGCGGCTGTCGAATCAACCTGTTGGGCCGCGTCCAGAAGTATGATGGTATGCACATTCTATTGATGTCCGTGGAATATGAGCACATTATAACTCTACCAGGGGACCAAGTGTGACGGTTAAGGGGTTGGTTTGAGATGCGATTAAATTTACTCAGCACTGTATGAAACGCAAACTTCTGTAGCACTTACAACACCACAGAAAGCTGTCTTTGCCGGACACGCTCCTGTCACCTACACAAAGTTTTCACTTCTGTCTCACCATCAGCTAAACAAAAACGTTCCATCACTGTTATCTTTCTCAGGGACGTCAGCAGTCTTGAGACTTCTTTTAGTGTGGACAGCAACGTTTTGCCTCAGTGAACCCCTTTAACAAGCAGAAAACGCTATTGTAACAAATTTTCGTTGGTTTTTTGTCGGGTGAATGTTGAAGCCAGTCCATGTTCGCAATGGAGAAGTGATTCACGAAAACGAAGTTTTTACAAGTCCCCCTCTCTGCAATGAGTAATCGTTCATCTGTAGCACTCTTCCGGTGCCCAAGTGCTACGCCACTCAAAGGAAGCACGAGGGCTGGGATACTGCTAGGTTGCCCCAGCCTAGACAGGGGAATTCGAGAGGCGGAGGTTGGGTTCGAACCGCAGGCCTCCCGGTCATTAGATTCGTTCTCTAACCACTGAGCCACCTCCCCCCTGAGTAATGCATTTACATAAATGTACAGAAGCGAGGAGAATGTCAGCATAATTATTATCTATCGCTAGACAAAGAGGCATGTGTGTGAAATCAAAAGCAATGAAGATGCGGACATATTATTCACCAGAATCACCTGCTGTCGTCCTGTACCAAAAGCTTTCTAGTTTGGATTGATCAACATATGGAAGGAGGCATACACACTTTGCAGTTACAGTCAACTGATTCTTTGATAATTCATCGTATCTTCTCTGCAGGAGATCATAGACGCTGAAGAAATCAGTCCAGGCGGAGGTCAATACCAAAAGCAATGAAAACAAACTCGTAACATTGTCATTCAATGGGTTTGTGAAACACCGGTGCAGCTCAAGCAATTTTGGACAACCTGTTCGGTTAGAAATTCAATGAGTGATGTGCAACGTTGAATCCAATTTATTTGTATGACTATTGGTGCCTACCACGTGGCAGGTATTGGGACATGACTACTGCGGTTGATGCAGTCGGGAACGTAGGTCAAGTGTATATGCCGCGACACAGGTGCTGTTTATGTGAATACAGCTCCGACTAAGACACTTAAAACATTGGGTTATGGGAAACGATCGCTCATTCGTCTTTTATCTTTTTGGATTCTTCGAAGCGGCTGTGACCTGTCTTTTGTAACTCTGATTGACACCGAATAAAGACGAAAACAGTGAGCATTGCGTGGAACACAACGTCAGTGGACCAAGATTGATTTTGAAAATTTCCTCATGCAATTATTGAAACGCTATCAATAAATTTCGATATACTAAAGCCAACCTGAGTACTCCTTATCGATATAAATGACCGTTCAGTACTGAAATCACGTTTTTTCAAAAGAAACGTCTATGCTTGCCAGATATTGGACACAGTTGTATCAAGCACTTCAAGCTTCCCGGCTGAGTGTTACCACTGCACAGTGCGCTTTTCTTTCATTCGGACCAAATTCTCAGCTACAAGGCATCCAACAAAATGTACTAATTTACAAAAAACGCTTCAAGTCTTATCTCACACGCGCTGCGCGTTCATTCGGATTCAAGCACGAGTGAGTAGCTAACCACTTCAAACGTTATTTTCACATTATTTCTGTTTTGCTCCCCAGGCTGGAAGACTTGACGAAATTTGATAAGTGGATTTCGACTGACCCAGTTAAAAGTTTTGCCCATCGTAAACCGTCCCTCAATCTTTGTTATTCGTTAGGGCAACACAGATCGATTGCAGTATTTTCAGTAGTAAGTGATCAAAAGTTAAGTATGCGTTTATCAAGTTGCGTTCCGGATATCAATTACGCCAGCATGGTTGTAACCAGGAGACATATTGGGAGAAATTTCTCTGCATACTGCTTGTCAGTGAAATCCAAAATTTGACCAACGGATTCGGGGTTGTTCCTTATGCGATCCGCTTTGACGATCATCGAGTAGTGGATGAATTCCAGGCTGTTGATTCACCACCTCGGTAAGTTACCATCAGGTCGATTCGCGACAAAACGGAATACTTGAACATACTAAGTTCTCATTTCCTTGGTGTGCAGCCCTCTTTTGTGTTCAATTCTCTGAGTTTTGAGTTCTCAACTTTTGGCGCCGATCTTGATAATCGGATTTCAAACAAGCGAGGTTACTCACGGACACATTTAGTCCTCATATCCTCCGGCTGAATGCGACTTCAAATCACCGCCTAGTGTGGTAATTTGTTTTGGCGTCATGCACTACTTATAGGTTTACTAGAAACTCTAATCAGTCACCCAAAAAGTACGTATTCTGTCTGCAGCAAAAATCGGTAGCAGTCATGCTGGAAGGAGACCAGATGCGACAACCTTGTTTTTGTGAACTGTCCTAAATCTTTCCAACAAAAGCCATCAATCGAGTTGATGGACAAAGAGGAACATAGATCAACACCACTGATGGAGTTTCCAGCGTTATCTAAGCGTGCGAACGTGGTTATAGCTGACGTATTTCGTACATTTGCGCCGGAGTACTTGGGGATAAATTGGGTAAGCGTGTCAATTTTCAAACCCGGTCAAAATTGCCTTGTGTCTCAATTAGATTCAGTACATCTGAGTGTGATAAGTCTACTTTTTTCTGTGTCAGCCTCTGGCCAGAGCAATTTCTGTAGATAGGCAGCCCACAAGTAAAGTTGGGAGATACTGGTGGTCGCCCATGGCTCGATAAACGTCGGGTTGATTTTAAACGCGTGCCCACAGCCTGTGTGAGGATCTTCCTGTATTCTGCCCTCTCCAGTCTAACATGAGGAAACTTAATTTTGTGAAAGCCATGTCAATAGGAAAATAATTTGTGGAAAATTGTACGAAAACAAGCAAGTGCTTGCAATGAGGTTGCGTACAAATTTGACATCTTTAAGGTAGTGTATTAGCTCATACCACGATGACGGTGGCCGTGAACAATGACAGTGGCTTCTTTGAGTGGGTATTTATTTTATCTCAGGTAATATATTATTGTATGATGACAGTAATAGTTTGCCACTAGCACTAGCATTTATATACATTATCTCTGAGATGTGGGGTATGGAAGTTGTTATTTGCTCGACAAGTTTGAAGACAAGGTTCCTCCGTAAATGATAGCCTCATAACTGATGTTGATTAGGTGGTTTCAAATGAATCGGTTTCAACTGAGGGTGGGTTAAGCCAGTCTATGCTGAAAAGTCGAGAAGCACTGGGAATCATTAACAGAGTGTATTCAACGTATCTTCTGGTGGATTCGAACTCGTAACCTCCCGGTTATTGCTTAACCAAACCTTTCGGTTAGGGGCGACTGCTTAGCACTGAGGTTGACTCATCCTGACCATGGTGCTACCCACTCTTTAATCACGAGATCCGCAGTATGGGGTCACGTGTTGGCAATCTACACTAAGGTTACTGGTAAGTAGTAAGGTTTTCGATCGCCAGCTGGTGTTCATATCTCTCAGGTTCTCACATACACGTCTGGTAAGACTTCCGAACCGGAACGGACCAAATGTGCAGCGTTGACTGGCGTTTGAAACTAGACAAGCCTCATCTACAGGATGAAACCACAGTATGTCTAACGACGGAAGTAAAACCAAGTAAAGTCAGTCTTCGTTCGTAAAACCCACGATAACTGGGCAACATTTTGCAGTTTCTTATTTCTCCAAGAACTTTCTGTCAGAGTGGACGAAACAAAAAACCAAAGTTTAAACGTTTAATCCATGTTATCTTACCAACAGAGAACTATTCATAAATTGATCAGTGTATATATGTATTATAAGTTATGCCTACCGATTTAACGGTGATACTACTGATGAGGAGTCTTACGGGTAGCATGTTTTCTTTTTGTAAATTCGCTTTGCGTCTCTTAAAATGGGATATCTGTTGCGGAATTTGTGGAGTCGCTCTATAGCATTTGCTTGGATTTGAGCGATAAATGGTTTGAGTCAATGAATATCCAGGAAAGTTAAAGAAGACGCGTTTAAGAGAAGATGGATGTTCAGTTTTTGTAAATAAGATTCGAATGAGAGTTTGGCTTCCCTGTCCAATAGTCTATAGCTGGTCAGTTGGCATTTTCTAATAAATGAATCCGCAGCGATGACTCTCTTCCTTTCACTGATATCGATTTAGGGTGCTAAGTTTAGCCAGAACGCTGCGTGATATTCTAAAAATCCATTATTTGATGTATTTTAGGGCTGCAGAAAAAAATTCACAAATTGACTGACATCACCGTGCAAAACGTAACTAAAAGGGACGAGAATGGTGTGGAAGCTTGGCTAAATCCAGTGGCTAACAGGATAGATGTCGGATGGGATTGCTGGTTTTGAAAGTTGGAAGGACTATGTGCGTAATTCGTGTGTCGTAAATAATTCTGCATATACTGCCCGCTTGTCACCAAGACGTGTTTTACGAAGTGCGGAGGTCAGAAACAACCGTGCCGGTGCGATTCCAGTGCCTGATGAATTACCGGTGTTCCAAGTGTTCCAAGCTGTGCCATATCGGTGACAAATCTATTCAGTGTTGTTGATGTGCTCTTGGTTAGTTTGGCTTTTGTGGTAAGACTGTTTTTGTCGTGTCAGATTCCACCTAGTAGAACTACTGAATCCGAAAAAATAATTAGTGTATTAATGGTATGGCATGTATCACAAATATAACACTTGTCTGGTATTTCTAAGTTCTGGCGTCGTTTGTTCAAATTCTTGTTTGCGTAACTCTTCATATCTTGCTACGCCTCTAGCACAAACTGATTTGTGCTAATCTGCTTCTCCGGAGAGAGCACTTTCCACTTTAACATTACCATTCAGATTCACTTGAAGTTTATAGCACGTTTTAAACTTCCGAAATATCAGTAACGCCGTCTCCACCAAGCTGAATACCAGATTGTAAGAGTGGCAAACTAGTTTCAGTTCAATGACCTCCGAATGGAGCACCAGAGAATGAGGAATTTGTTGTGGCTCGGTTGATTAGCCAACTTTCGAAATAAAAGCCAGAAACACCTTCAGTGAGGTAAATAGGGTGGTGAACCACGTTAGTCAGTTATCAACAAAACGAACAAACAGCAAGAAAGGGTTTTTGAACTTCTACAAAGTCACATGCTAACTCACATTAATTACCTAATTTTGGGAGATCACGCATCAGAGTGAGTACCTCTTTGATAAGAAATTACAATTTTGGCCACTTTATCTGGGCAAACTGCAACGCAGCTGATAGAATTCTCTTGGGTGTGAAAATGTGACAATTTAGGAAGATGTGTGGAAACTTACGGCTGCCACTATGACGTCTTCGTTCTCCGAATTCGGACTAGTTTTCTTTTTCAACTCCAGGGGGAATATTTGATCCGTCAGTGCAGACCTCCGGTGAAGCTGAATTTCCTATAAGGAATGGTGGGAAAGATGGGTTACGCCTATTTTAAGGGAAATATGTTGGGAAAATTTGCCACATGCTATGGACTGGCAATTTCGACCCGTGCGCAATTAGGTCTTTCCAAAGATGACACCAAAGTGATGTGCTGCACACAAAGAACCTCTCACACTTTCCGCAGTTCCAGTTTTTGTCGACATACCAGCCGTCTACAGTCAACTGTAAAAGTGCGACTAAGAGGAAATCTGTGGTATTTTAAAGAACTTAGTCAGATTAGGGCAGTTTCAGTGCTTGGAGAACTTTAACTCCATATTCATTATTTTATGGTTTCTCGTCTCATCGAAATCGGTTCGGAATCAGCTCGGAATCGAAACGGTTCGGATGACAAATGTCAACCGTTGGTTCATCATGGAGAGGCGTGGGCGATCTATTTTCGACCCAAGTGTATATGCTTGACTTGGAGCAGTGTCCCATTGTTAGATGGATTGCAAAGCTCTAGTTGTGTACTTGGGCTCTAAGTTAAGACTATAATACTAACGGATGAAGCCCGTTTAGGGGAACTTCTGTAAAGTGGGTGTGATTGCGAGTGCTAGAATTGGTCTTATACTACAGAATCACCCGAGTGTGGACCATAAAAGTGAATTCAGAGAAGAACCAGGTGTCTAAGCTTTCACTCAAACCTCGGAAGGGGGACAAAATTGAAATATTTTCAGCCCAGTATCCTAGTTATCCTCCTGATTAACAACGGAATTCCAGTAAGTCGTTTTTGCAACATAACAAAAAGGATGAAAGGGAAATTTTATTGTTTGAAAGGATTTTCTGCCGCTCATGGGGTGTTAATTTTTATTGAGTGACATTACTGATAGTTACGATGTCTTAACGAACTCAGAATCCATGATAAAGATGAATTTTCGTGTTTGATAGGGCTTTCTAACATTTCGAAGTAAACGGACTAGTTCATCGCTTCAGTCCTTTTCACCATTTCTTTAGATTTCAGCACTGAAACAAAAACGTATCCTATGGAACCGTTGAGAAACTTCTATCGGCAAGAGGATACAGTCACTAGGACGCTTGAATATATTTCACTTTTCTCCAATTTGACCGTAACTAATGGTCTGTTTTTGTTGTCTCATGGATATGTGCTAATTGGACCTATTCGGCCCTTGCAGGCTCGCCACCGTACGAACGATGATTGAGATAAACGTGAACTTACCGGTAAGGGAAAATCTTAGTTTCTTATTCTGGCACTGACTCACTCCATTACACAGTGAACAGCAACTGTCAAAGCAGGGATCACAACCTCAGAGTTACTGGTTTACCTCTGTGTTTAGGTACCGTATGACTAGATGTAACAGGCAGGAGACTTTCAACTCAACCCCGAAAAAATTCGCCGTAATCCTATGATGGATCCTCGGCATTCAACAACCAGTTTATTTTCAACTGATATTCCGTTCTATCTACTCCGAAAGACCGAGAACCGCCGTACAGCTGCTGCGACTTTATTGGGAATGATCAACCGATAAGTAGTTCAGAGGAATAATCAAATTTATCAGATGAGTGAAACTTCTGACCGAGGAGTCCTTCCTTGAGGAGTAAGTCAGTAAACACACAAACATTTGATGTGTTTTTCATCAGTGAAGGGTGAACGACACCACTTATCAGGCGTTCAGGGCCACATGGTTGTGTACAAATTAGTAACTGGGAGGCCAAGGGTTCGAAGCTCTCTGGTTCCCGTGAGATGGGTTCTGCTGATGACTCCAAATAAGGACGAAAAAGATATAGAGTGCTTTTGGGTTTTTCAACATAGATGGGTCTCACTGATAGGGAAAAATATCAATTGAAAACCACCAAATCTCCTCACACTACCATCAGACATTGAACTGGTCCGGATATATTTACTCGAATGTTGTCTCCTTCGACTTTAAGCTATATGACTTATCTTGTGTGAGGTTTGTGTTGAATTCGTAATAAAAATGATGACATTGAAGAATCAGCTGAGATGTCACGAAATTATACGCAAAAAGCTTATCTCAGCTCATCACCACAACTCCTGACACGATTTTTCAAACATTCAGAGAACTGGTCTCATTAGCGAATTCCACGACCGATTTTGACCATCTTCGAGGTAGAACACTTTCAGTACCCGTCACTAGAGCGGGGACATTGCAGCTGGCGGTAGGACTGGAATATTGATTTTCCATCCTCATTTTATATCTCACGAAATTCAAGAATTGAACGCCTTCTTTGTGATATGTTTTACGACATCCTCAAGGGACAGATTTGGTCGTACAACACACGTTTACACAGTAGATTTATTTACATATCGTCATAAAGTTCACTGAATCCCCATCTTGCATTCAGAGGAAAAAATGATTTGTCCAGGTGACTGCATTCACACACAAAAGATGAAGCAATATAAACGATCTGTCGTTTTGTTGTCGCCATTTTCACTCGCGAATTACCTTGGACCTAGCTGTGTAAATCGATTTTATTTTGGGATTGAACCTGTCACCTGGGGAATTACCATAAGACGGACTACGAAGGCTAGACTTATTTACTTTGATTGGTTTAACCATCACCATCCCGTGGGACCCTGTCACCGATAAAAAACTATGTCAGACTAGTTGTTGGTTTGTTCATTAAGGCTGAGAACTGAACTGAAAACGTGTCGTCAGCGTTTGCAGTAGTTTCTAACTCTGATGTCAGACCAAGTTGTTGTGCGGAATGATTTCATGCGTGCAATATTTCGCAAACCAGCAGTCAACACATCATGACTAGCACGGAACATATGTTAAACTTGGATCAGTTTCTATTCAAAGTGTGACTCCCCATGACATAACATCCCACATTAGCTTGGTATCCGTGACAAAAACCTAGTGAATCCAACAGCCCAAGGAGAAATGCTTGTATTTGGTCGTACAGGGAGCTTCCAGTTGACTTTCATTCTTGAAGGAAAACCTCCAAATCTAATCGGAAATATTCTGTTGTTTTCATAATGTCTGATCCGTTCTTCATGAAGAATAGTTTGACCATAAATGTCGTTGATATGTACTTCCAAGTCAGCTGTCACGCCGGAAGTTTGGTAAAACAGCAATTACTGACCTTATTCAGTCACATCAGTTGACTCTTTTTATCCAGACTTAAGTTGATTGATTTATTTAACTTGAAGCGTGCTCACAGACCGTTGGCCATACAGATTTAGACAAACTGAANGAACCGCTGTTAGTGACACTCATGTACAGTCGAAATTCTATTAGCTTGTAGCAGAAGTCATGCTTCGCAGTTTATTTGACAGAGTTATATTAGGAGCAGATACCCAATCAAGGGGTACCTTTTTATCCTTAAGGATGTCATCTTTGTTTCGTTTGAAATGGAAACAGTGTCAGGCTGATTCATGGTTACTAAAAGATTTGAATTAAAAATATGAACGAGTTGCCTCTTCAGAATCACCCGAGTTATTCTCAGGCAATCAATAACTGGGTAGTTATTGTTACCCGAACTGAATTCTGGCTATATTAGGCGAATGGTGTTCTATTGAGTTGAGCTAACTTTGCCATCCAGCAAAATACGACCGAGAGGGTATGCTAACCTGCAATTCCAGAACGAGAGCTCAGACCGATATTTTGAGCCCAATAGCAAGGCTCAAATCTTCATGACGGAAGACGGAGGAGTAGATCGCTGCGAAAAATTGACCATTCGTGCTCACAGTGCCTCAGAATAAGTTACTCATAGTAAGGGAAAGTCATTTAAACCAACAGTGAGTGCTGACTAAATGAGAACTTTGGTCTGCTTTTGGTGGGTGCCCAATACAAACGTTGAAAATAGGTCGTCGGCACTCGATTCCTCAGAGATCGCTTACTTTCTCGGCGTGCTACATTAGGCTTAAAACCTCGTGGTACTCAAAAATAATTAGTGCAACGTGAATATGGCACAGTAAATCAATGGGAATTCGCAGTGGCCAACTCTGTGTTTTAGCGAGATCACACCCTTTTATACCTAATTGCTTAGCCCCATCTCCGCTGACTACAACCGCTTGGTTGAGTGGGTTGCTTGGAGAACGGTCTTTACGAACCATCTTCTGAAGGATATGTACAAATCTTGAGGATACCAAAATTTCAGATTTGGCTGAAAGGATATTGATATAAGATTTATCGGGCAATACACATCTCATTAGAACTGTATATTTCTGTCTGATCTTTCTAAAGCCCATCTACACCTTGTGTTTCGACTCACTTGAATTCTTAAAGATATTGTGCGTATTCTTGTATGCATTATTCATGTTAAGTTTTTTGCTCAAGGTACTACTGTGCAGCGGCGGATACTACTGATAGGGCATGTGAGTAGTATTTGGGTTTCTCGTAACTCCGCTTCGCGTCTAATGGAAGGTGAGGTTTATTACGGACTTTGTGGGACTGCTTTGAAGAACTCATTACAATCGCATGTTAGTCAATGAAAATCCAGAAAATGTTGAAGAAGCCGCGTTCAGGAAGACGGATATTTGCCTTTTTAAAAGCAAAATGCATATGAGACGTTTCCTTCCTTCTCCAGTAGTTTGTAACCGTTTAATTAGAGTTTTCTAATATACAGACTCGCAGCGAAAGCCTTTACTAATAATGATGTTAATTGTTCAGCTGCATCAACTATTCGATGCCTGGGTATCATATCACTCGGAAGAACTACGAGATTTGAGAGACTCAAACTAACTAAGCGTAGACACGAGCGGTCGGACTACCGGGGTTGAGTTCGAACAATGGACCTTTAGCTCTTAAAGTTTGCGCCTTCAACACCGAGCTATCCCGAGCCCGCTCAGCTTAACAGCAGTGTGGTGTTGTCTAGGGGGATTCTTCCTACACGGACACTGTTAGAAATTTACGTGGGCGAACAGAAGAACTAATAGAAACTAATATCTACTTTTTGAGAAATACACTCATTTGCAAATCTGTTTGGTTTTCACGGAAGACTCAATTTAACCTCTCGTTTATGGTATTATACAACTGAATGTGCCGCACAC